AATAGTAGATTACTTTGCCACCAGTTTTCTGTATCTAATCAATGGAGTTTTTGCACTGGTTGAGTGAATGTTGTAATAGCACTGAGCCCCATGTTTTAAGCCCGAGAAGCACCCAATAAAGATCATTTCCTTTTCTGCAGCTCTATTCCCTTTCCTTCCATTTGCCTTTACATTTTAATCCAAACGTGTAAATAACTCATGGGTGAAAAACAAAGTTAAAAGGGAAATTAGAAAATATTTGAACTAGATGAGAATTTGTAAGATGCCGCTAACATAGTACACACATAGAAGGAAATGTATGGCACTAAAGTAGGAAAAAAGAAAGTTCACAAATAAAGTTTGAATTTCCACCTTAAGTCTCTAGAGAAAGAAGAGCATATTAAACCCAAAATAATCAGAAGAAAAGAAATAATGAAAGATAAAGTACAAATGAATAAAACGGAAAACAGTAAAACAATTAAGAAAATCAGTAAAACTAAAACCTAGTTCCTTGAAAAGATGAATAAAATTGATAAATCGCTAGTCAATCTGACCAGGAAAAAGTGAGAAAAGACACAAAGTACCAATATCAAGAATGAAGACAATGGTATCGCTACAAATTTTACAGGTGCTAAAATATTAAAAATGAAATATTGTGAACAACTTCATGCTAATAAAGTCAAGAACCTATATGAAATGTACAAATTCCTTGAAAGACACAATTACCAAAGCTAATGCAAGATAAAATAGATAACTTGAAGGTGATAAAAATATATTTAAAAAAAAAACTGAATTTGTAGTTAAATTCTTCCAACAAATTACAGGCCCAGATGACTTTAGCAGCAAATTCTACCAACCATTTAAAAAGAAAGAATACCAATTCAAGACCAGTTGAAGAGAAAGGAATGCTTCACAACTTATTCTATGAAGTCATCATTATAAAGACACCTAAGCCAAACAAACACATTACAAGAAAAGAAAACTACAGATCAATGTCCTTCATGAATACACATGCAGATGTTCTTAACAAATTTTAGCAAATTGAATCCAACAACATATAAAAAAGGATAATATGTCATGACAGGAATAGGAATGCAAGGTTGGTTTAATATTAGAAAATCAATCAATGCAACTATACAATCATCTCAATCAATGCAGAAAAAAATATTTGAGGAAACCCAACATCAAATTCTGACTAAAAACTCACAACAAACTAGGCATATAAAGCAACATCCTTAACTGACAAAGACACTTACAAAAACCTACAGTTAATTTCATACTTAATGGTGACAGAGTCTATGCTTTCTCCCTAAGGCCAGGAACAGGACAAAGAAGTCCACTCTTGTTATTTTTAGCCAACATTGTCATGAAGGTTTCAGGCAATCCAACAAGGTTAGAAAGTGGGGAAAGATGTTCAGATTGGAAAGAAAGAAGTAAAACTGTCCTTATGGAATCCACTAAAAAAACTACTAAAATTAATGAGAAAATTTACTAAGTTTATAGGATTCAAGATTTGTATATAAAAATCAATTGTATTTCTAAATAATTCTTAAAATATAATTTATAAAACATAAACCATGAACTATTTAGAAATAAATCTGACGAAAGACACAAAACTAAAAAATATTGCCGAAAGAAATTAAAGAAGCCCTAGATAAATGAAGAGATACACCTTGTTCATGGGTCAGAAGATTCAATGCTTTAAAATGTCAGTTCTCCTTAAGTTCATCTCTAGATTCAGTGTAATCCCAACTTTTTTTTGGAAATTGATAGGCTGAGTCTAAAATTCATATGGAGATGTAAGGGACCTCAAAGAACCAAAACAATTTTGAAAAAAAAGAAAAAATTTGAAGTATTTACAGTTTGACCTTAAGACTTATTATAAAGTCATGAGAATCGAGTAATGTGATATTGGTTCTAAAATAGACAAATGATACTTATGGAACAAAATAGAAAGTCCAGAAATATACCCACACATATATGATCAACACAGGCAGAAAGGCAATCCAACTGAGAAAGGATAGTCTTTTTAACAAATAGTGCTGGAATAATTAGTTAGCCACTTGCAAAAAAAAAAAAAAAAAAAGAGCCTTAAACTGAAGTTTCACGCCATATATAAAAATTACTCAAAATAGATCATGGTCCTAAATGTAAAACTTACAATCATAAAAATTCTAGAAAGAAAAACAGGAGAAAATCTTTATGGCTTTCATTTAGGTAAAGATTACTTAGATACAATACTGCAAGTACAGTCTATAAAAGAAAAAATGGATATATTGAGCCTTATCAAAATAAGGAATGTCTGCTCTTTGAAAGGCATGATTAAGAGAATAAAACAAGCCACAGAAGATCGGAAGGAAATATTTGCAAATCACATACTCGATAAGGGAATTTTTACACAGAGTATTAAAAAAGACACTGAAAGTTCAATAATTAATAAGAAAATAAAGAACCCGCATTTTTAAAAATGAGTGAAAGTTTTGAGCACATACTTCACCAAAGAAAATGTAGGAATTGTGAGTAAGCAAACAAAAAGATGGCCAACCCCGTTAGTCACTAGGCAAACAAAAATTAAAACCACAGTGAGATACCACAATACACCTACTAAAATGTCTAAAATTAAAAAGACTGACCCTATCAAATGTTGGCAAGGATGAGCAGCAGCAAGAACACTAACACATACAGGGCAGCTGAGAATGCAAGATGGTACAACCACTTTAGAAAATAGATCGTCAGTTTCTTAAGACATTAAACATACATCTGAAATTATCCAGCTGTTCCATTCCTAGGTACTTACCAGAGAAAAGAAAACATAAAGATTTACACACAGGCATTCATTCTAGGTCTATCTGTAATTGCAAAAAACAAAACCAACCAAACAACCAAACAAACAAAAACTACAAACAAACCCAATGGTCATCAACATGAACAGATAATTTCCATGTATCTGTGTAATGGAATACTATTCAGCCATAGCAAGAAGTGAGGTATTAATACACACCATGACAGAATGAATCTCAAAATGTAATGCTGAGTGAAAAGAAGTGAGATGAAAAAGAGTCACTATTGTATGACTCCATTCATACAAAATTTCAGAAAATGCAAATTTATCTACAGCGACAGAGAAGACTTCAGTGGTTGCCTGGGGGAGAGGTGGACGGAATCACAAAGGGGCAGGAGAAAACTTCTAGGAGTGATGAATGTCTCCACTGTGTTGCTTTTGGTGAGAGTTTCACAGCTGTATAAACTTTATCAAATCATACACTTCAAATACATCCAGTTTTTTTGGCAAGTCAATTATAACTCAATAAAGTTGTTAAAATTCATTAATAAAAAATAATCCAAATATCACTTAAAATAAATATCTTAAATTAAAAAGCCATTTAAATGTGTGCCTTGAGGAGCAAGTGCCTTGAGGAGTCGGTCAGTGGGGACTCACTTCCTCCTGCCCTCCCATTTGGGCCTCACTCTTGTTTCTTCGTGTTTGGCCGCAGTTGCTCCAGTCACTCTATTCCTCTGTCAGTTGGTTGTGTCTCTAGTTGGGGAGGTGGGTAGAGGACCTCATGTGGTCCCACAGATTCTACATACTCATGAAACTAGGTTCCCTCACCCATCTTCCCATCGCTACTTTTCGAGAGAATGATGATCATTTTAAATGCCTCCTCTTATTAAGGATTTACTACGTGCCAGGGAGTTGATATGCATTAGTACAAATGCTCACAACAATCCCATGATATAAATTATTTCTCCATTTTTCAGATGTATTAACCTTCCTAAAACTAATATTGCTAGTAAACAACAGGATACAACTGGGACCTAGACTTGTTCACCAGAACATAAACTTCCGAATAACTTTCTTGTGGTGGCAGATAAATCCGTATTCTGGTGGCAATGTGAGTACTCCCCTCGATCAAGAAAAGAAACAAACTAGGGAGGGGTGGAGCCCTTGCCTTTGCCCCCCTCTGGGTGTTTTTCCCTTCAGGCTTCAGAACTGGTCTTTAAAAAACATTTAGCCAAGTCCTCAATGTGTTTTACCAAACACTTTTCCCCTTGATTTTTAAACCCATGTGTTATTTCAGGAATAATAGAAACCATATGTCCCTGACATATTTACACTTAAATCATCAAGATGTTGTTTTGTCAGAACTTTTGATGTCTTCTGAGTTTCTCTCTCTCTCTCTTTTTTTTTTTAATGAGACCCTCCTAGAAGCAGCAAGTCCCCATCACAAATAAACAAATTAAAACAAGAAAAAGACCGACTTGGGACCTAGTTTCAGGCTGGCCGTGTGGGACAAATTTGAGACGCGACAAACTGCATCATTCTTTCCTTGCCATGCAAGGGGCTGAGAACAGAGTTTTGTGCCTGATGGTCATTTCGGAGTTTAATTCTGTTCCTAGCTTCAGATGAAACCATGAAAACTTGAGTTTCAGAGAGAAACACTATTGATCTGCTGAAATTGCAAAACCTGTTTTGAGGATCTCAGAAAACCAAACGCAAATGACAAGAGGCAAATCAATGTACCAGTTTATGAGATCTGACGAAGCTTCAAGCTTAGAGTGAAGGACCCTTGAGAAACGACCCTTTCGGGGAAGATGCAA